CCCCCGCCTCCGCATTCCTTGCTCACCTGGAATCGTTGTAAACCCGCCAGCCAGACTGGTCCTTGCAGAAGGCTGTGTAATGGCCGTAGTGTACGCTGCCGGAGTGATTGCAGAGGGCGTAGAGGTTGTACACGGGGGTGCCTGCGACAGAGGCGGAGAGAAGGAATTTAAAGAAGACGCCAAGTTCAGACCACCCCTGTCTCGGCAGGCCGAGGACAGTGCGGCAGCAGGGCTGGGTCGCGGCCAAAGAAAACCAAGCTTGGGCTGCTCCAACAGGGGCGCAGTGACGGATGTGGGCAGGGCTGTAGCTGCAGTGGGGCATTTTGGGCCCCCGTCTCCTTCATTAAAAGCCCTGCCTCGCAAATAGCCATCAAGACAAAAACAGGGACCACGGTGGAACAATTCAAACAAAGGAAAACACCGTGTACAAAATCCAAAAAGGAAAAGGAACAATTTTGATAAACTATAAAGAATTTATATATTATTTTGTGTAATATAATCATAATAATGAACAATAAACAAAAGTAGTCAAAACGTATGCAATATGAATTCACAAAATCTGATGCACCACAGAGTTCATACAATAACAAGAGACAATATAACTGGAAGTAAACAGTGCAGGGGTTCTCTTTTCTGTCTGCCCTGCTACTGCAAAAGGAATCGCTTTTCCTGTAAGGACAGGATTGTGGATTGCTTCTCTCACAAGTAGCAACTTCTGGAATACTTTTGGATTATTCCTTTTGCATTAGCAGGACATATAGAAAAGAGAGCTTGGAATACTGTAAAGGTGTACCTCTCTTTGTATGACTGGTCTAAGGACTGTAGAAATGAACTGAGCTAAGAAAAGAGAATTCCTGTACTGTTTACTTATATTATCTCTTGTTATTGTATGAACTTTGTGGTGCATCAGATTTTGTGAATTCACTTTTCATACTGTATACATTTGGACTACTTTTGTTTTATTGCTCATTATTATGGTCATTACACAAAAGAATACATATTATATCAATTCTTTATAGTTTATAAAAATTAGCCATGCCAGAAATCTTATTTTTGCATGTTTCCCAGAGGCTCATGGGAATGCTTTTGAAAGACTCCCCACGACCTGGGTGGTCTACAGCAGGACAGGGGCTAGCAGGAGGGGGGATTGCTGGAGGGGTATTCAAGGTGCTACTCTTGAGTGCCCTTCTAAGCTTTCTTGCCTTGTGGAAGGGAACTCTCAAAAGGCATTTAGAAGCCCTCTGAGCATTCCCCCCCCCCCCGGAACTGACACACTTGCTGCGAGCCCTTTTAGAACCATTGTATAAGGTAGTGCTTATGAGCTGCAGTGGCTCAAGTCATGCGCAACTGCAGGCTGTGGAAGGTCAGTAGTTCAGCAGTTCGAGGCCCAGGTGCTGCATGATGGAGTGAGCTCCCGTCTCTGGCTCCAGCTCCTGCCAACCTAGCAGTTTGAAAGCAAGAACTTGCAAGTAGATAAATAGGTACCACTTCGGTGGGAAGGTAACAGCGTTCCGTGCGCCTTGGTGTTTAGTCATGCCGGCCACATGACCACGGAAACGTCTTCAGACAGCGCTGGCTCTTTGGCTTGGAAACGGAGATGAGCACCGCAACCCTAGAGTTGGACTCAACTGGCTTTCGAGCAAGGGAACCTTTACCTTTACTTTATAAGGTAGTGCCTATGCCCTATCTTTTTTATCTAGAAAATCATGAGTTAAGGAGAGCGTTTACCCTCATGAGGTGGGGTGCCCTCCCTTCAGCGGTTACAGAGGGGAGGTTTAATTAAAAAAACCCTTGCTGATCGTATATGTCGCTGCTGCAATGACAGAATTGAACCCTTAATGCATGTTATATATGACAGCAGGGCATACCGCCACTTTCGTGATATTCTCCCACTCTCTACAACTACTCTGTCCTCAACGAGTCAAAATGGAGCAATTGCTGAAGAACCTCCCAGAAAGTAGGTGCCCCAAGGTTACAGCCAACGTTCCCTCTAAGCTGTGGAGTCTTGTGAGCAAAAATTCTACTTTGTGAGTTGCCTGCATTAAAGTTGTGAGCAGGTGACTTGGCTACTGCATCAGTTAGTTTGCTTTGGAGCCCTCCTTCCTGTGCTAAGACAAAAATATGTGAGCCGGAAGCTAAAAAAGTGTGAGCTAGCTCACACTAACTCAGCTTAGAGGGAACACTGGTTACAGCTAAATTTGCCACATTTGGCTGGTTAGCTGTAAGGACTAGAAAGCTCCTAGTGAAAGACGAATAGATGCAATTTGTTACAGGACTTAACAGGTTTTACGGGCATGCTCTATTTGATATTCATTTTATATATTTCATTTATGCTCGTGGTTGTATGGATTTAGTTTGAGTTAGAAGAAGAAGAAGAAGAGATTGGATTTATGCCCCGCCCTTCACTTGGAGTCTCAGAGCGGCTTACAAGCTCCTTTCCCTCCCCCTCCCCACAACAGACACCCTGTGAGGTGGGTGGGGCTGAGAGAACTCTGACACAAACGGCTCTTTTTCAAGGGCAGCTGTGCCAGAGCTTGTGACTGACCCAAGGTCACATCAGCAGGTGCAAGTGGAGGAGTGGGGAATCAAACCCGGTTCTCCCAGATTAGAGTCCATGCACTTAACCACTACACTAAACTGGCTCTGGTTAGTTTGCTGTATTAGAGTGCCGGCTTTTTGCTGTGAATAAATGTGTTGTTGACACGCTCACCGCCCTGTCCCTTGAATGGGAGGGCTAGAAATAGGCTGGGAGCCTCCCCCTTTTAAGACAGGCATTCAGATTAATCTAATTAACCGTAAACATTTAAATGCCCTTGAACAAAAAGATCCAGGCTACAGGGGCCTGTGCCTGGGACCCCCTCCAAGGAAGAGCACAGAGGAAGTGCCTCCGCTCCCGCCACCCGAGACCCTCCGCCCAAGGTAGGCTTGGAGCCTGGCACGCAGAAGGGCACGGGGCAGCTCAGCGGCTTCAGGTGCCCCACCCCTCCTGCCCAGTGTGGCGGGGGTCACCCCAGACGTGGCACGCCCACCCACGCTCCACTCACCAGCTTTTTCACTGGCAAACTCCTTCAGGTTCAGCTGCTGGAGGGGGAAGTCCACGTACACAGAACATTTCTTGATGGAATACCGGGTGGTGGAGAGGCGGTTCAGATCTGGAGCGGTGGCTGTTAAGGAGCCACCTGGCAGAGGGGGCGGAGAGGCTGCTGCGGGGGACCCGCGGGGGAGGCCTCGGCTGGACGGTGGGGGCAGCTACGTATCCCTGTTCAGACGCCCGCTAGCCCTTGTTCTTCTAAATAATTCAAGGACAGAGAAGACGGACCGAAGACAAGAGGACGGCCCTCGGTTGTGGAATGAGCCCGGCTCTTGTGGGGGCTTTGCGAATCGCCTGACAGATCAGCTAATCGAATTAGCTCTCTGTCAGGCCCCTGGCACCAAAGACGCTCTCGACAGCTGTTACGTTTGAACACATACTGAATCGGGCCCTTCACTTTCAGTCTTGCCTACACAGACTGGGCAGCGGCTCTCCAGGGTCTCAGGTGGAGGTCTTTCGCATTACCTCCTACCTGACCCTTTTAGTTCTGACTGCTGGGTCAGGACACCCATATTCACCCTTGTTGGTTGGATCCACCACTGGCCTCAACCAGAGAGGGGAGCGTAGCCAGAAAATCCCTGGCCGGGCTACATCAAGCGAGCCTACAGCAGCCTCGGCTGACCCAGAAAGCTGATGCAGACTGGAGAACGAATCTATCCGTGGCCACGTTTTCAAAACGCTTTGGCAATTGCCTTTAGAGCAAGAGGCATTTCAGGGTCTGGGGACGGTGGAAGAGAAATCCGAAAAATAAAGATACCGTAAATGTCACAATTTGTCATTCAGCACATCTGAAAGGGTCACTCTTGAAAGAGAATAAAGAGAGGGTTGGGTTTTTTTTTAAAAAAAAAAATCTTACAGGTTCATGGCAGCCAGACTGCACTATGTCAAGTATTGGGAAAAGATAATCATATGAATAAGCAGAGCTACTCGGAACAAGGGTGGGAAAAGGCTGAGCCGGTGGGGAAAGGTTCAAGCAGTGTTCAACTCCTCAGCAAACGGTTATTAGGGGGAGACCTTTTCTACAGAATTTGTCTCTCATTTACGATCTTTCAACTTTTTAAAAAAATGCACGGTAGGCCATTATTACAATGTCGCTTTTTGCTGCTCCAGATTGCAGTACGACACTATCCCAACCAGTGCCCAAACGTCCGGCTGTCACACTTAATGACTGCAGAATCCTCCCCCCCCCCGTCCCCGTTTCTTGCCCCAAACGGAGCCACGGAGGATGTGCAAAAAGGATACGTAGCACAAGGATGCGGGGAAAGCGCTGGATGGTCAGCTTCTTGGTGCTTCGGGTCCGCTGCCGGCATCTGTCGCACACCTGCACCGATGGAGGCAAAGAGGTCAAGCTTAGCATGCAGCAGAGCCTTTGCAGAAGCGTCCCCCCAGGCCTCGCCCTGCCCACCGGGACCTCCCCTCGGCACCACTCCTGGCTCACTTCTCCCCCTCCCCACATTCCTCTTCCTAATCTTGTGACATAATTCAACAGCAGCCCACAATTCAGTAGTCAGATCACAATGTGGAATTGGCTGCCAGGGGAGGTAGTGATGGCCACAAGATTACACAGCTTTAAAAGGGGATGAGATAGATTCATGGAGGATAAGTCTATCAATGGCTACTAACCATGGTGGCTGAGGGGGACCTCCACATTCAGAGGTACTAAGCCTCTGAATCCCAGTGACAGGAGGCAACATCAGGGGAAGGCCTCGGCCTCCCTGCCTTGTTGCTGGCCCTCCAGAGGAACTGGTTGAGGCCACTATGTAAGAGAGGATGCTGGACTAGATGGACCCTCACTGGTCTGATCCAGCAGGGCCCTTCTGACGTTCTTACGAGGGTTTACTGGACTAGATGGACCACCTTCCCTTCCTCTCCCCACAAAAGGTGGGGCTGAGACAGTTCAGAGAGAACTGCAACTGGCCCAAGGTCACCCAGCAGGCTTCATGAGGAGGAGGAGTGGGGAAACAACCCCAATTCTCCAGATTAGAGTCTGCCACTCTTAACCACTACAACACGCTGGCTGTCATGAAGAGAAGGCCTTATGAGGGGAAGGCCTTGAGTTCTCTGCCCTGTTGTCAGAGGAACTGGTTGAGGCCACTGTGTGAGGCAGGATGCTGGACTAGAGGGACCCTCCCTGGTCTGATCCAGCAGGGCTCTTCTGACGTTCTTATGAGGGGAAGGCCTTGAGTTCTCTGCCCTGTTGTCAGAGGAACTGGTTGAGGCCACTGTGTGAGGCAGGATGCTGGACTAGAGGGACCCTCCCTGGTCTGATCCAGCAGGGCTCTTCTGACGTTCTTATGAGGGGAAGGCCTTGAGTTCTCTGCCCTGTTGTCAGAGGAACTGGTTGAGGCCACTGTGTGAGGCAGGATGCTGGACTAGAGGGACCCTCCCTGGTCTGATCCAGCAGGGCTCTTCTGACGTTCTTATGAGGGGAAGGCCTTGAGTTCTCTGCCCTGTTGTCAGAGGAACTGGTTGAGGCCACTGTGTGAGGCAGGATGCTGGACTAGAGGGACCCTCCCTGGTCTGATCCAGCAGGGCTCTTCTGACGTTCTTATGAGGGGAAGGCCTTGAGTTCTCTGCCCTGTTGTCAGAGGAACTGGTTGAGGCCACTGTGTGAGGCAGGATGCTGGACTAGAGGGACCCTCCCTGGTCTGATCCAGCAGGGCTCTTCTGACGTTCTTATGAGGGGAAGGCCTTGAGTTCTCTGCCCTGTTGTCAGAGGAACTGGTTGAGGCCACTGTGTGAGGCAGGATGCTGGACTAGAGGGACCCTCCCTGGTCTGATCCAGCAGGGCTCTTCTGACGTTCTTATGAGGGGAAGGCCTTGAGTTCTCTGCCCTGTTGTCAGAGGAACTGGTTGAGGCCACTGTGTGAGGCAGGATGCTGGACTAGATGGACCTCTGGGCTGATCCAGAAAGGCTCTTCTTATGTTCTTAATGACACAAATTGAGCCGAACTCCAAACAAACTCTCACCATTCATCCCATGGCGAGGATCTGAGGTCCATGGAACATAAAAATACCATGTGGGCACTCACCCCGTTTCTTACTGCTAACGACTCCGGCCCGAGCGGCAGAAGCTTACCGGTGCGTTTTCCGAATCTAACTCCTCCTCCTTGGTGAAGAGGCTGAAACAGTCGAGCAGGGAGACCTTCCCACCAGTGAAGCCTTTCTGCGAAAACCAGAGCAGGGACACGTGAGAGGGAAGCCGAGTCCCGGGGCGGCTACAGCAAGGACTCCGACCGCCAGAGCAACACCCCTTCCCCCATGCTAGAAAAAGAGCTGGGAACATGTGCCATTTGGGAGAGGTGGCGTTTGTGAAGCCGTCACCCTAATTCTGTCCCACCATAGCTATCGGCTATCGTCTCCCACCACCACCACCACCACCCCGCAAGCCACCGTGCGGTTTTGGGGAAGGGCCACAGTTTGGTGGTAAGAGACACGCTTCGTATGCGGAAGGGCCAAAGCACCAGCCTTGAAGAACTCTGGGTGCATGAAGCTTTGGGAGAAGAAGGAGGAGGAGAAGAGATTGGATTTATACCCCGCCTTTCACTTGGAGTCTCAGAGCAACTTTTCTTTCTGCACTGAAAAACTTCAGCCTCACCAGAAAGATACATTTGCCCTGCAAGCCACAAAATCCTGGCTACAGGCAGTGTTCCCTCTAAGCTGAGTTAGTGTGAGCTAGCTCACAGTTTTTTAGCCTCCGGCTCACACATTTTTGCCTTTGCTCAGGAAGGAGGGCTCCAGAGCAGTGTTCCCTCTAAGGTGAGTTAGTGTGAGCTAGCTCACAATTCTTTAGCCTCCAGCTCACACATTTTTGTTTCAGCTCAGGAAGGATGGCTCCACAGCAGACTAATTTATGCAGTAGCCAAATGGCTCACTCACAACTTTAATGCCACTAGCTCACAAAGTAGAATTTTTGCTCACAGGGCTCCACAGCTTAGAGGGAACATTGCGTCCAGAGCAAACTAATTCACGCAGTGGCCAAATTGCTTGCTCGCAACTTTAATGGCGGTCGCTCACAAAGTAGAATTTCTGCTCACAAGACTCCACAGCTTAGAGGGAACATTGGCTACGGGCCTGTGCTTGCCTGGCCCTGCGAGGGGGGGGGGGCAAACCCACACTCACCCCACCCCACCCATCAGGGTTGGGGCTGGCTGAGCAGGCGCTCCATCTGCCCTTGGTGTGTGTGTGGGGTCCTTCCTCAGGGCCATTCCCCCCTCTCCAATCCACCTCTGGAGGCAGCAAACATCCGATTGCCCGTTGTGGAGGAAGAAGCTTTGGTCTCTGAACCCTGCTTTGCTGGCCTTCCAGGGCACCCGGTTCCCCAGTGACCTAGACGAGACTTTGGTCTGATCCAGCTTATGATCTTATGAAGGCAGCATCCGACGTTCGGAGAGTTTTTCCTCCCAGCGCCTTCCCTTACTGGCCCTGAGGCAGAGGCAGGTGTTCTTCAGGCACAAGGGCCCACAACTCAGCTGCGGCACACCTGCTTGGCCTGCCCCCAGACGACATCCCTGGGATGACCAGTGACAGGAACTCTGGGCAGTGAGCCGGAAAGAGAACACCCCCTGCCCGAGACCTAAAAAAACCCCGCTGCCGGTCTTAGTCGGAAGAACACATGAAGCTGCCTTATGCTGAATCAGACCCTTGGTCCATAGAGGTCAGTATTGCCAACTCAGACTGGCAGCCGCTCCGCAGGGTCTCAGGTTGACGGTTTTCCCCCATCACCTACTACCTGATTCTTTTAAACTGGAGATGCTGGGGATTGAACCTGGGACCTTCTGCATGCCAGGCAGAGGCTCTACCACTGAGCCATGACCTCTGCATTGACAAGTGCTCTCCGAGGTCTCAGGCAGAGGTCTTTCCCAGCACCTACTCCCTGGTCCTTTTAACTGGAGATGCTGGGGATTGAACCTGGGACCTTCTGCATGCCAGGCAGATGCTCTACCACTGAGCCGTGACCTCTGCACTGACAAGTAGAAGCTCTCCAGGGTCTCAGGCAGAGGTCTTTCCCAGAATCTACTGCCTGGTCCTTTTAACTGCAGATGCCGATGACTGGACCTGGGACCTTCTGCATGCCAGCCAGATGCTCTACCACTGAGCCGTGACCTCTGCACTGACAAGTAGAAGCTCTCCAGGGTCTCAGGCAGAGGTCTTTCCCAGCACCTACTGCCTGGTCCTTTTAACCGCAGATGCCGATGACTGGACCTGGGACCTTCTGCATGCCAGCCAGATGCTCTACCACTGAGCCGTGACCTCTGCATTGACAGGTGCTCTCCGAGGTCTCAGGCAGAGGTCTTTCCCAGCACCTACTGCCTGGTCCTTCCAACTGCAGATGCTGACGACTGGACCTGGGACCTTCTGCATGCCAGCCAGATGCTCTACCACTGAGCCGTGCCGTGACCTCTGCACTGACAGGTAGAAGCTCTCCAGGGTCACAGGCAGAGGTCTTTCCCATCACCTACTCCCCGGTCCTTTTAACTGGAGATGCTGGGGATTGAACCTGGGACCTTCTGCATGCCAGGCAGAGGCTCTCCCCCCAAGCCACAGCCCGCTTTGTTGGAAGAACCGACAGCCTGATCTGGTAACAGAGAGGCTTTGTAAGCCACCTCTGGACTCCTGCCACGCAGCCTACCTTTGGGATGGGCAGGGAGAGGTCGCAGAAGACTTCGAAGGTGGTGGACCGATAGCCGCATGCTTGACACTTGAGGCAGCTCTTCAGCTGGCCAACAAAGAGATCTGGCAGAGACAGGGGGGGGGGGCACTGTTAGCCTACAAGCATAGCCTCGTTTGGGGGTTGGCGCCCTAAAGAGAACACACTTCAGGGTGGGGTAAGAGTGCTATTTCTCCCAAGATTGTCACCTAGAACATCCGAGCACTGAGACGGCCCAAATCTTGGAACTGGTTCTGGAGGTGTTGGCGGGCTGAGAGAGCCCTGGCCCCCGCCCCCATCGGCCCCTCCGTGCGTGCCTCCCCTCCTGCTCATCCATCCACCCACATGCCCCCCCAGTCTTTGCCTTCCCACAAGTCCTTGCAGCCACCTGCCCCGCCTGCTGCTCTTTCCCCGACAGCATGGGGCTGTGTGTGCAGTGAGGATGGGTGGGGTCAGTGGCTATGAGCCCCGAGGTACAGATAGGAACTCTCAGCCTGGGGCAGGTGATGCTCTGTCTTCTTGGTGCTTGGGGGGGTGGGGCAACAGTGGGAGGGCTTCTGGTGTCCTGGCCCCACTGGTGGACCTCCTGATGGCACCTGGTATTTCTGGCCACTGTGTGACACAGAGTGTTGGACTGGATGGGCCTTTGGCGTCTCTTTTGTTCTCAGGAGTGTCACCTCTGCACCCACCAGAAGTGCTAGTGCCACGGTGCCCCACCTGCATGCCCTCCCCCGGGGATGCTGGGCAGCATGTTCAGCTGGCATCACAAGGAGGGGCCCTGGAGGGATGCTGAGGGCTCTTTGTGTAGCAGGTACTCATTTGCATATTAAGCGACACACCCCTAATGTAGCCAATCCTCCAAGAGCTTACAGTAGCTCCTGTACGAAGAGCTCTGTAAGCTCTTGGAGGATTGGCTACATTAGGGGTGTGTGGCCTAATATGCAAAGGAGTTCCTGCTACAAAAAGAGCCCTGCGGGAAGGATGCGTAGATGGGTGGGCGGGAAGGAATGTGGGCTGGAGAGGGGGGGGGCAGGGACTGCGGGCCCTGCCAGAAGCTGTGGGACCTGGCCGGTGCCCCACCTCAAAGGACACTGACACCGAGCCCGAGGACCTCCCTTTGCTGCCCCGTTGTGAGAAGACGGGTTCCATTTCCCTGCACTGCTTTAATGTGTCGCAGACTGCTGCGATCATTTGATTGACAGGTGGGGTAGGAATCTCTCAAACCCCGGAGGGAAAGCAAGATGGGCTGCCTGAAGTCTGGGGACGGTTCCACACGAGAGACTGCAAAAAGCTTTCCTCGGGAGGCCGGCCGGCTCACCTACTATCTTGCTGTCTTCCCTCTCCAGGTAGCGCTTCCACATCTGGTTGGCTTGTTCATCGTCACTGGGGGAAACAAAAAGGGACATCGGGGTGACATGGGACAGGGCAGGGCGGAGCCAGCCCCACAGGTGTGGTGGTTTTCCACATATCAATGGTCAGCTATACCCGCGTGGGTCGTTCATTGACCTGATTATTACTTTTATTTATTTAAAACATGTATTGGCTGCCCCTTTCCCATAGGGAGCTCAAGGCGACTTACAATACAGGTAAAGAAGAGAGGAGGAGGAGGAGATTGGATTTATACCCCGCCCTTCACTATCTGAAGGATAGAGCGGCTTACAATCTCCTTTCCCTTCCCCTCCCCACAACAGACACCCTGTGAGGCAGGTGGGGCTGAGAGAGCTCTTGACACAAACTGCTCTTTTTCAAGAATAGCTCTTATCAGAACTTCGGCTTGCCCAAGGTCATCCAGCAGATGCAAGTGGAGGAGTGGGGAATCAAACCCGGTTCTCCCAGATTAGAGTCTGCACAGTTAACCACTACACCAAGTACATAAAATAAAACAGATAAAATCCATTAAAAAACCCCAGCATTTAAAAACCACAGTTTAGGACTGCTAGTAAGTTAATCAAGCGTGGTCCTAAATCAAACCATCTTCAGCTGCCACACAAAGGTCAAAAGTGGGAGGGGCCAAACACACCTGCCGTCAGCCCAGGTAACGTGAAAATTCAATGCTCTGGAAGAGGCTACTGGCCGTATTCACGGCCGACGTTAGATTTGAACTGGAGACTTCCTGATTCACAGCTCACTTACAGGCTACACCGCTCACCAATCTCCTTTCGGGAGCGCCCTTGGCTCAGTGGCAGAGGCACCTGCTTTGCAAACGGAAGGCTCCGCCCTCCCAGGGTCAACCCCTGGCTTTCCTTGCTGAAAGGATCTCGGCAATCGTTTCAGTGCCGGTGGACAGAACAGAGCCACATGGATCAAGAAGCATGAAGAGCAGGTTCATACGCTGGGCGAGTCCCAAGGCTCAGTGGTGAAACACAAGCATTGTGCACCCAGGTTCAAACCCAACCGGAGAAAGATCTCTGCCCAAAGGGGTTTGGAGAGCCAGAGGTGGAATGTACTGGTTCAGGTACCCATCATGAATACATGAGGCTGCCTTATACGGAATCAGAGGCAGAAAACAAAAATAACTCCCCTGAGACAAAAATTCAATAATAACTAGTGCATGAAAGTGCGGTCTAATCGAAATAAAGGATCATAACAATCACGTGTAAATAAACAGAAAATTACTAAATATACTAAATTGCTACAATAGAACACCAAGCCATTTGCATTGTGTTCAATGTTCCCTCTAAGCTGAGTTCGTGTGAGCTAGCGCACAGATTTTTAGCCTCCAACTCACACATTTTCGTCTGAGCTCAGGAAGGATGGCTCCAGAGCAAAGCTCGCTCACAACTTTATTGCCAGGAGCTCACAAAGTAGAATTTCTGCTCACAAGATCCCACAGCTTAGAGGGGGCATCGTTGTTCTGTTGTGATTCGGATTTCTCCTCCGGCTGTTGGGTTCCATCTCTGTTCCCTTAATGGTCATCGCACCTTGGTCAGTGCACCTCTGAATTTTACTGTTGTTGGAAGAAGGTTATCTACCCCTCTTGAAAAAGGCTTTGCTCCGACATGGCTGATATTACTGATCGCATGGCCGTAAAGAGAAGAGATAAATAACTGAAGCGGCATTGTCGTCACCTTCATTGTGCCTTCTAACCAGGGGTCATTTCGTAGAAAAAGAGCTAGGGGAACTCATTAGCATAACTGATTAGCATATGCCACACCCCCTGACATCACCGGAAGTGTGTCATAAGGCCACACCCCCTGACATCACCGGAAGTGTGTCATAAGGCCACAC